TTTTTTCAGTTTTCAATTTTTTCCGATTTTCCAATTTCTTATTAACAAATTTTAAACTTGTGAACAATAAAGAGAGACAATTTCTTCTTAACAAAAATATAACATATTGACAAAAGTATCTTTACAAAAAAGTACAATTTTACAAAGCACAGTGAATAGCATTGCTTGATTAAAAGGCAACAACTCAGACAGTTTCACCGTTCCATTAATTCTACTTTTTTAAAGCTACTGTTCGTGTCTATTTCACTGCAAGAAATTGAACTCGAAGCTTTTCGAACAGAGAGAAAAGTCTGCTACAACTGCACAAGCTAAACAAATTTTCGCTCGTAATTCCGTAACGATATTCGTTGAAAAAAAATTGCTACTATTCGAGGGCTTAAAACCGTCCTCCGTGGACTTATTGACAGTCGATTGACATATTGGCAGTCCTCACAATCTGTCGTTTGCAGTTTCACTCTGGCCGATGCAATCCTCGTACCCTCTTCCCCTTCAATTCTCTCTTTTTGTTCCACTTCATTCGTCCCCCAGCCTCGTTTCCTCACCTACTATCCTATAATAGGGGTAATTCAGGCTCTATTCCGGATTCTGACAGAAAAAAAATCCAATACGGTCCTTGGAACTAAAGATCGTTCTCGATACCTAGAAGAATTTTCCCCTTTTCCAGTAGCGTAATCTTTCTCTGAGAAATATTTTATTTCGTACGACGATGCTGAAGTAATGCAGCGAACTCGTAACCGAATATAATTTACCGAATGTTTTTAATCACGTGTTGATCGTTAATTTAACATTTACGTCGATAACCACAATTGTTTACTTTATCGACCAATTTTGGTGGTTTTCTGATAACGAAATTGTAAACTTGAAGCAAACACGGATATTCGAATCTTTTAAAATAAAATGAATATAAAGATATTTTATATTTAAAATGAAAATAAAATATTTTATGTGAGAAAATGTGCAAAAGGGTTATTGACATAAGGGTTAAATTGTAATTTTGATATTAGAAAA